CCTGCACAGAGACAGTGAAGAGACACATTGCTCCAAGTGACAACATCCCACTCTCTCTTGCCCACTTCCTCAGATCCGTAGGACGTGCAGATGAGTTACTAGGATGCTGAGACAGCTCTTAAATGTTAGAAGCTATAATTTCCCTGCGTAGTCCACTCTTGCTTTGAGCACAATTTTCATGACCATGCTCCAGAATGGGCAAGCTGCAAAGTCAACAGCTGAGCTGAGAGCGAGCTCTGAATGAATTAGAAGAAATTTGCAATATTAGGTTTGCAGTATTTTGTACACTGTTGTTCCCAGAGATAACACCACTTTTACTTGCAAGATCTTTGTGTTCCCCTCTATAATCAAGGAGACGAAATCTGACTGTAAACCTTTTTGTTCTCTATTATCATTTCATGTTGGCTTGGTGTGTTAATCAAAGTGTCAGTAATGGCTGCAAAGAGAACTCATTCAATCCTCCAATGAAGAGAAATCTAAGCTTTCTAACACCAGCACATTTTCCAGTGGATAAGCTTTCTCACAAAGTAATTATTTCATTTTCCAGAAAGATTACTGATTACATCACACTGGGAAAAACTAAAAGAGGGATCCTTTATCTTTCCCGTGTTTCTGCAATTCTTGTACAAACTTATACTTGTTACCATGAAAAATGACAAATTTGCCATCTGATCAAAATGTTAACAAGGTAAGTGTCAGTGAGATGGATCACTGACTGTCACTGCAAGCCAGAACATGAGGATACATTGATATTTCTCAATATATTCACTGCTTCCCCAATGTTCGCTAACAACATTTCTACTGTGAGTGTAATAAATCACAGAGAAATAACAAGCTGCATAGGATCTCCAGGATATGATAGATTTGTCGTAATAGCAGTATCTGCAAGGTAGAAAACAATTGGTAATGATCTATAGAAAGACCTAATCAACTGTCATTTGCCATAATGTGGCAGATGAAGCAAATACATGAAAACCATAGCACTTCTTTAGCCACTACCCTCCCCCTACATATACACATGCATCAAGTGGAAAATAGTAAAAAGAATGAATGAGTTTTGGGGTTGCAGAAGTAAAAAAAAAAAGTTAATAGCATGCCCTGAATGCAATCATTGAATTATACACTCCTGAACAAGGCAAGGGATAATCACAGAAGCTGCACAGTCCTGTAACAATGATAAAGGTTTCTGCCAAGCCCGTTCCTCCCCTTTGCTTTATTTCTTTTTCATCGATTTCAGTGTGCCTTAAAAAGTACTTACACTGAAGTGCAACCAAACATGAATGAGGCTGGATAACCAATGAAATGCCCACCCTGATTTTACAAGGGATCCCAGAGGACTGAAAGCAAGATGTTCCTTAGATATCTAGTGCAGCTCCAGAAATCAAAACCAGATGTTCCACATTGGGTTGTGCCAGATCCCTTACTTGCTGCTGAAGCTTTCACATTCCTTTGCCTGCTCCTACTTGGCAGCAAAACACCTGCACCTTCCAGCAGACACGTGCACAACATTCAGTTTTAGTTTGCTGAAATACAAAAGTTTCTCAGAACTACTTTCAATGGAGCTTAAGCACTGCCTCGGGTTAAAGACCTGAGTCCTGCATTTTATGTACTGAAACACCTCTCTTGATCACATTCTCCATTGCCACCTGCCTGCAACAACACTCAGGTCAAGAACTAACACTGAACTATTAACCCATAAGCTTCCCAGGCTACGCAGACTGCTCTGCACAGATTTTTCTTCCTACCCACATCAGGAATGCCTCTCTGGAGGAGGCAGTGCAGTGAATGCAGGAGGAACTCTGGGTTTAAAATTTCAGTAGAAAGCTCAATTCATTCTTATAAAATGCTAAGAAATCTATATTCCTTTCCCTTTTTTTTTTTTTTTTTTTTTTTTCTCTCCAGGAAGGTGAGGGAATAATGGCTGCTTTACACTATTTTGCTTGCAAATCACATTTCACTAAGTGAATGCATTTTTGGGAACATAGGAATTGCCAAGCTGCCTCAGCACAGCAGTACTCTGCTCCGGCATCCTGTCTGGCAGCTGCTGCAGGGGAACGTGTAGGAAACCTCCTAGTGGGCAATTATGGAAAAACCTGTTCAGATCCAACAATTTCTCCCAGCCCCTCCATCAGTCAGTAAAAATTGGCATGTCTTGAAACATGGAGGTTTGCCTCCTCTCAAACAGTTCTTTAGGTCCTTCAGGAGTTTGTAACTTAGTATTTTCCACATCAGAGAATTTACTAAAAGCTGTACTTTCCAAAGTCCTCATCTTCTGGCTCAGCACTAAATAAAGCTGGACAGATTTTGGAAAGGGCTCATCTCCTTGGTGGAAGGGAACTGCTGAATTCGTTTGCAAATCCACCCTTACAGGGTCACAACAGGAACAGCTCTGTGCTCAGCAGTTTTGAAAATCTGTCCTCGGTGGGAGGTGCAAAGCCTCTGGAAAGCTGGTGCTCAACAGTTTTGATAATCTGGCCCCAGCTTGAGTATCAGGGGCCAAATTATGTGATTTAGAGGCAGAAATTCCCTAGTGACAGCAGTGGAGATTTCTGCTCAATGATGAATACCTCAATAGGATTCTGGAATAATAGAGCCATGAAAAGTGGATAGCGCCAACAAATAAACATCAAAGGGTAAGACTTTCCTTTTCAATCACGTTCCCTTGTGCTCCACATAAAAGGACTGACATATTCTGAGATGAAAGAGGGAGAAGGAATGGTTAACAATACAGTCCCGTATTTCCTTCTAAGATGAAAATACAAAGCATTTTTCAGGAGCAGCGTATTCATATAACATACAATTGGTAGTTTACATGGTATATAAGATGCTGGTGGTATTGGGACTAGCCTTCTTTTCATATGCTCCAAAGAGAGAAGAGCGCTGCATTTCTTCAGTTCTTTTCCACATCGAGAGCAAAATTTTCTTGCTCATCTCTCTCTCTTTTTTTTTTTTTTAATAAACAAATGACTTCCATCTCTCTCCCTTTAATATTTTCAACATTCAGCCACTTCAATCCACAATTCTGATCAAAACGCAAGTTTGTGCAGAATTATTTCATTATTTCTTGTGGCCTTTCAGATAATTTGAAGGGAACTTACTGGTAATCAGATGAACTTGAGCCCCACATGGCTTAACCCTCATGTAATTTCCCTAGATATCCGTGACAGTTTTGGCCCTGCATACTGCCATCATTTAGATGTCTGTCCTTCAATTCTGCTGGAATATCTAATACTTTACTGGTGCATTCAGAGGGCTATCTTTCAGCACAGAACTAAGGAATACAGATACTACCAGCTGAATGGGAGTAAGTCACATTTTCTTGAAGCCTTTAGGTCTTTTCCAAAACCCTTCACAGAACGTCATTATTCACAAGTCCCTGCAATAACTGCCAGTATTGTGCAGAAACACACAGGTTTCCTGGGACCATAGGAACATGCTGTCCATAGAAGCTGAAGATATTTTCTTAGGAGGACAATGGGAAAAGATTAAAGCTGCACAATGGAGAGAAGATGCAGCACTGACTTGTGCTTAGGAGAAGAGTATATACCAGCTGTTGATGTTACCTTTCTGCTCCAAAGTTTTTTCTCTCAGTGAAACTGTGGACTCAAGCAGAAGAGCTTGAGACATGGAAGGTACTGCACACACCTTCCCCCAGAAGAGGGGAGCAATGCAGATGTTGAAGACTTTCATTTCATCAGAGGAAAAAAAAAAAAGGTTGACAAGATGCAATTTGCTAATAAATGCTGTTCCGTGTAATTAAAAGAAACTACCAACAAACAAAAATTACTGTGGACGGACCAGCAGGAAACAAGAAACTCTCAATGGAGAATGGTAATTCAGAGAACACCTACCACACAGCCCACCTTCCCCATTCTCCCTCTAGAAAGAGACCCATTTTATAAATGATGATTAAGGCATTGGAGAAAAAAGTATTAACATGATTCACATGTAGAAAACAAGGTTATTAGGAATAGGGATCATTTCAGCACATTGTTCTCCTTAATAAGCATAGCAACGAGTAATTGAGTTTCAGGCAATCTCCAAGGTGGCGCTTTGTAGAGAAAGCGTAACTTGGCATGATGTCTGCTTTTCCTTTAATTACATTGCCCTAATGAGAAACTTTCTTTACTCCTAGCAAATCTATTTCTTGAGAAGAAGCAACAGTAATGAGTGAAAAGGATCATGAGGTAGTACCAGAGAAGAAACATCAGGAGCCTGAAATGAAAAGACATTGTTAAAAGTAGTGTAAAAACACCAGACAGTTCTCAGCATCATTGTTTATTGCACTTAATAGGGGAGTAAAGTATCTTAAACAACAGAGCATGTTACCTGACCTAGGAACTGCCCTTATTCTACTGCTGTTTCACTTCTACACGTGTTTATGAAAGTGACCCAGAAACACGATGTAGCTGATACATCAATCCAAAGCTCCTCTGCTCACATGCAGAAGAGGGCAATTCTGCTTCATGGCCTTGTGCAGACATTGAGAAGAGAAAACCACATGCCAGTAACAGCCTACGGAGTGTCAATAATGCTCAACAGGACCAAATACAGAAGGATAAAGAGCTGGCTTTTCCCAAGTCTTTAAAGCATTTAGATATTTGATGCCCCTTGAAAGTTAGTGATAGGCAGGGACCTACCTATCTTGCATGTCTTTTTTTTTTTTTCAGTTTACAGCAAAGAATTTCCTGGATGTACCTTTATGGAAATAAAACTTTTGTTCATTCTGGTAATTTTTTCCCTGCATATTTTCTAGAAGATGTCCTACAAGTGGAGATAGACCTCCCAGCCCCAGTAAAGTCACTGCTATCCACACGTGAGTGAACATGTCACTTCTAATAAAAATACCTAGGTGTCCACCTTTGGTGAATTGCAATTGCTACAGCTTAAAGGCTTTGATTGAATTAAGCCAACGTACTCCCAAGTCACAGTCCAACTTTTTTAATACCAGCAATTTTATTCTACAAACAGCAACGCAAAGTTCTTTACAGTCATCCAAGTTCTCCATGTTTCTTAAAGCTGAAAGCACACCCCAGTATATCTATTGAGTGCCTTAGGGTCACAGCTCACATAAGGAAACATGATCCTCATTTGCTGGTTTATTCCATGTAGCCCTCACTTTTTGTTTGTTCAGAGATTCACGAACATATCTGCACTCAATAGCTTTACCTCTCTCACTCCATAACTTCACAGTCTTCCCTTACCTCCCTGCATGGCACCTTTAAGTGCTACTACTTAATGCACTCACAGAGCTGGTAGAAAATTTAATTAACATATGTAAGAAATACTGTCAGGTCTCCAAAACCAGGCACTTCAGATGTAGAAGTGTGAAATGAAATTATCTTCAAATAAAGAATTTGAAAGTGCCAGTGGAAGCAGGCACCTCAGACCTTAAGTGTTTATGCAGCTTTATGTATCGTTATTTCTTCAGTAAGACTGCCACAGAAACGGCAGGGGTATGGGAAGAAAGTATGTTAGCACTTAGACTCCACTCGTAAATGCATTAAGTGCAACAATTTTAGAGAGAAAAAAAAAATCAGGAAAGCAAAGTCCCTTCTGGGAAGCTGATCTCCATTACTGTTCACAACCACACAGAGAAAACCCTGTGTAACTGCCACACTGTACACGATCTGGCAGTTGTGTGCATTTGCTGCTTCAAAGACACTACTGTAATGAGCGAGGGGAGATTTCTCCTCAGAAAAAAGAAAGTGATCTTTCAAGAAAAAAAAAAATCTAAAAATAGACCTTCAATTAAGAATGATTTATTGCAATACCTCCCCGCTACCACGGAAATCACACTCCCAAGCAAGTTGTCAGTACACAAAAGTAGTTTACATTCACAAAAAAAGGGGGTACAAATGTTTAGCTGGATCTGCTTATGTGTTTAGCTCAAATACATGAGCAATTTTTGCAATTAAATTCAGGAAGAGGGTCTTAGCCCAGTTGCACAACGCTGCAACTACCCAGGCAATGTGAGACAAAGGCTGACTTTCCTTCCTTGCTCTCCCTTATTGTTGGAACACCCGTGCTCAGATGGCTGTAATTAGGTTGCAACTCAGTCAAATGGGATTTTGAACCTTGGCTTTTCTTGAAGCAGTAAATTCAGCTGCTCAGTGTGGACAACAGTAAATACCTTCTCCATTCTGCAGACTGCAAAAGCTGAAATTTGAGAACAATGCTACACTATAATCCTGGAAACAATTTCACTAGCTCCCTGCAGCACCACCAGACCTTTCCACCCAGAAGTAGCTCTTAGCACACAGGGTAGCAGTCAGAAGGGTAAATTTTCTATGCAAGGCAAATAGCAACAAATCTTTTTTAAAGAACAAATCACACACATCCAGTAATTAATCACGTTTTGGAGAAGTTTCATTTTTGCTCCCCACAGAAACACTTTCATCACCTCCTCTCTTTTGAGGGACATGGTTGGTGGGCACGGTGGTGATGGTTGGTCTGGGTGATCTTAGTGATCTTTTCCAACCTTAATGATTCTACGGTTCTTTTCAAAATCCTGCATGTTTAAAAACATGCAATTCCACAAAGAATGAACAGCTTAAGACTTTGTGGCGACAACAGTATTATGAAGCTCACTACAACAATCCATCACCTCTGTGCGGCAGTTGAAGCTCTCCACTCCAACTCTGCTGGGTACCTTTTGGCCCAGGGCACGGAACTGTGGTCACTGGTGGGGGAAGGACCCCCCTGCTCTGCCTGGGGCTCTGCAGAAGACCACCTGCCTCTGCAGTGCCACCTAACCTGAGTGCAGAGTTATAAGCATAGCTTAATAAATTTGAGGGCTAGAGAGCAGTAGGAGAGAGGGGAGCAGATTCTCATATCATCAGGAGGGAAATAGACTTTTAAAAAGCCAGTTGTGCCTGTGCACAACAATGAAGCTTTATGTCTATACAAACTGACAAGTCAAATTGTACTCCTGGGCCCAGTTCTCAGCATCAGTGCCATTTGATGGTGATAGCTCGCCTCCTGCTTCTGCAGCCTAATGGCTCTGTCTGCCAGGAAGGGCACGCAGGATGATTAAAATAAGCATTAACAGAACGGTTTGGTGATTAGCTGTTTTTTTTTCTTTTTTTTGTCTCCCTGGTTTTTTTTTCCCCTTTCACTTTCTTTTTTTTTTTTTTAAAAAAAAACAAAAAAACTACAGAGAGTTTTGGTCTGCAAAGGACTGCTAAAGCCTTTTGTTCATTAGCTGCGTACTTTACAAGTGTAAATTTAAATAATTCATTTTCTTAAAGCCAAGGATTAGAACAATTAAGGAAAACCACTGCAACCTAGCACTCAAGTCAATCCTTAACATGGAAATGAAACAATAGTGCTTACAGTATTTAAACAAAACTAAGTAGTATATAATTATCCTGACGCTGTCAAACTAAATTTTCACTGTACTGCAATGATTTCTGAAAATTTATTTCTGAAATGGAAATGACCATTTTCTTTTTCAGTATGAGGACATCTCTGCAATCTCTTTGGACCTCTCTCACAGCAAAAACATTGCAAAAACACCTAACATCCACTCCCACTTTTCTTTCTGCCATCAGCCTTCTTCCTCCTGTCCTAACTGCCCACTCCATCACTGGGTCTGCCCAGTGGAGACACAAGCACTCATCCCAGCGACTGCCCAATGTACTTGTATCATCAGGGCTTAAAAAGAGTAGAAATTAATTTGAGCAAATGTCTCTAGAAAAGCAAGCCATTTGCCTACAAAATTTTACGCCAAGTAATTTTGTACCTTGGTCTTCTTATGTATCTTAAGTCCTTCTTAACATATGGTGATGAAGGTATAGAACATGGCCTGAGTTATATTTGGCAGTGAATTTTTTTTAGTAATGTTTTAAATTTATGAAACTGAGATTTGCCTACAATAAACTCCGTAGCATTTTTTCACCAGAACACAAGCTGTAATGTAAAGTGTTGCCTCCTACAGAAAGAGGTGAGGTGTTAACTGTGAAACCACAGTGTGCTGGTAACAGAAAGGTGTTGCTTTGGAGCCTCAGGGATGGCAGTTTATATTTCAATGTTGTTAACTGCTTCACTGATTATTACTGTACCAGAAATACCGAGCAAAGGCATGACATAATCACATCTTGATTTAGCCACATCCCATGCATTTCTGTGCAGAAGAGAAGGCCTAGAAGTTCCCACAAACACTAGATTTGTGAATAAAATCTAGATAGCTCTGTTATCTGAGAGGAAACTTTGCTACCCAGCGTGCAGGAAGCCAATCACACACAGAGATGAGATACTGATTTACTGCAAAGCTGAGCAAACGTGTGTAGGTGGTCTTCCACAAAGTCAGTGTACCCCAGGACTTTTACCATACTTTTTTTTTTTTACAGGTATTCACTTTGTCACTTCACCACCACTGTAAAAAGTACTTTTCTTCAATCTTCATAATTTTCACTTTTATTTCCATAAATGTGTATTTATTTAAAAGTACCTAAATAAATGTCTGGGGAACTTTATTGCAACTCAAACTGCCAGGGTGTCATTTTGGTTTTGGAAACCACGAACATTCTGTTCTCCATTTGATATTTCAGGACTACTGGTAGTATTTTTCTAACTCCCTTTAAGTTCAGCTTCCTTCTGTATCTTTATTCTTGCAAAAGAAAAAAAAAAAGGTAATGGAAAACAGTGGGCAAATACATAACGGAAAAAGAAAGCACACTTTTTTTTCCCCACAGAACAAACAAAAGCAGAATGTGAGCACATATCTGGAAAACTTATTTCTCATATCTATATATTTTTTCACTCTTTTGACTCAAAAGATAAATTAACTTGACCTTGCAGATATTGGTAAACTCATCCCATCAGACTTTTATTTATTTTCTAACCAAGGAAGAATGCTTGGGTCCATTAATATACCTCCACCTTCATTTAGAAAAGTCATATTTAGAAAGTGAGGGATAGCATCAGATCTGAGCCACTGGAGCTGTTGATTTAGTGCTGGGCAGGTCAATGAAACTGTCAGCAGCAACCAGCTCAGATGGTGTCACTTCTAGCTACACGATCCTTGAACCTGCTTTAGATAAATCTGATCCCTCAGGGCAGCGATCCGCATTTGGAAGAGAGCAAACAAAGTGATCTTTTCTTGAGATCACAGTTTAACACCACGGTACCTTTAAGTACGTGCATGTGGGTCAAACATTGGATCCTGTTTAGCCATTGAATACAGTCCTACAGAGGAAGAAGGCACTCTCCAATTTTTCGCTCTTAGCAGAACAAGTTGCAGAAGTAATCTGATGCACCAGATTTCTGTGCAATTTGGTCTAGAGGTTACCAAATAGCTGCTCCCATACCCTGACCCTTATGCAGAATGCAAGGGAGCATTTCATTTCTAAGTTTATGGCATCATTTCAGTTCAGAGAAGAAAAATCCCTTTTTGGAAACTGCCATCCCTGATAGTTTTGTTTACTCTGCATCACATCAATTCCAAAAAGCTGAGTATGTAGGATACTAACGGGGCATGTTCTCCCCACCAGCAAGAACTCAGCTTGTGCATCAAATGATAACCAGATGTCTGGAGACAGTTTTACCTCAGGGACTGGGAGTTGAAGAGAAGCATCTGAGCAGCTAAGCAAGTCCAAGCACTGACAGAGCAAATGGGCTGAGAGACCATGTTCACTTTAAACCCCTTATCAGCAGCTTATCTTTGGTTGAAGGCTCTATGTCACTAAGTAGCTGGCCAAGGAAGTACTATCAAGGACACAAAAGATCAAATACTCCACAAGCTAAACACAGTAAATATGCCATAGCAGGTGCCAGGAACTCCTCTGTAACACATACAATAATTTGTCTGTTACATTATAAACTAAATGTAAGTGACTTCTGGATGCTGGTATTTTCTACCTATGAGGAGACCCTAAGGCAAGAAATGGTAGGAACCAGCAAGAGAAGTAATGGAATGGAGAGAGAAAGTTGGGCTGGAGGACAATAAGACTACACAATGATACAAAAAATCTATGTTACCTTCCAGATAAAGTCTAGGTGTAAAGGGCATGTGTATAATCATGAGGAATGGCTGCCTAACTGGGAACCTTCTATCCACTCCTAGTTTGTTCCTCTAGCTGGACTGATTCCAGTTCTTTAGATCTGAGGGAAGATATCAGAGAATAAAATGGTTCTCCCTCAGATTTGACTATGCTTTCCTGCCACCTCAAGATATGTGCTGCAGCACATGTGGCATATAGGAAGGTCTCAGAGATTTCAACTATCAAAATAAGAAATGCTTTACAAGGTTGAAAAGAGTAGAAAATATCACAAACAGTAAGATTTCCATCTAGGGAAACATGCATGATATGATGTCTTCCAGTATTCTTGCTAGACCCTGCTGATGAATTTCTCATTTTTGTTTAATGTAGGTTGGGTGCATGCAGGGAGTAACCAGCAGTCTCCAGGGGACTCCAAATTATAATCACATAAAAATATCATGGCCCACAAAACAAATCGTCTTGTTTGACTCAAAAAGGAAATTCATTTGTTGGAAAAATAATTCCTTTAAGGTCAACTCAAAATGACTTTTTGTCAATTCAGGTATCAAATTCAAAACATAATTATTTGCACAGCTGTAACTTCTACCACAGTACTCCCAGTTGGAAATGTTCATGCACAGTTAATCTGACTTGCCCAGCTGGAGTCGCTGCAATATCACAAGAGACATGAAACAACTGGGAAAGGCTTATGCTTCTTGGCTACCAGAAGCTCCTCTGATGCTCTGTCAGTCAGAAAGAGCAACACTGGCAAGACCAGGATAAAATCCACAGCCTGAGAATGAGAAAGAATTTATTTGCTGCTGCATCAGAAGAAGATAGGGAAGTAGACTTGTACCTGGGGAAAAGAGAGGCTTTTTTTTTTTTTTTAAATCCAATTTAGATTCTGTGCTGCTTCCCTCCTTTTCCATGAGCTTACCCATGCAGGGCTCAAAGAAAGCACAGTCTGGCCCCAAGGGAGTTCAGATGCAGCAGACTGATCTACCAGCAGGCTACAATATGTTCCCAGAAGGTGCAATGTAATTCTGAGGCCAAGGAACAGCCTATTAGCTCTGCATGCTATTAATTTTCATGAACAGTTCGATCCAATGCTCACAGAAGCTGTTGGGCATCTTTCCATTTTGTCTAGCAGGGTCGGGATTAGGGCTTATTTATCTTTTCATTCTATACCTTATCTTTAATTGTGAAGTAGTCCTAACAGTTTAGTGCAGCTCTGCACATTTCAAGCCCTTCACTAGGCTCTGTGACCAACAGCACGTGAGATGCTGTCTACAGGTCAGGGTGAAGGCATGTCACAGTCAAAGCCATTCATGAAGAATTAAACTTCAGGCTTGTTCGACTAAACTTCTCAATTCAACAAAGCTCCCCAGTTTTGCCAGGCTGAAAAAGCAACCCAGCAGGTTCTTGAGTGATGTGCCAAAATGCCTCCTTCATCCTCTCTGGAACTGGAAATGATTACTAATAGGTATTCTTGTTGAAATGATTTAACATAATGTGCTGAATGAGATCACTAAGTCAAAATATCTTTCCCTAAGTGATTCTCTTACTGTGTGCCTGAATGCTAGAGGGGAAGGACAGCATGAACTGAATTCTTTTGCAGGCTTTTGCATTTAACAAAACTTCCAAGTTACCAAAGAATTCACATTAGGAAGTTTCACTATTCATTACAAGAAGCCCATGAAGCACATCTGTCTGGCAGGCAGCAGGGGATGGGGACACGAGGATTTGGGTCAGCCTTTCTTAATCAAACTCTACCCTTTTGGAGCGCTTAGAGCCTAGGTTGGGAACTAAAGATGGGCAAGAAAAACAGGTAAGCATGAAACAAAGCTGGTGAGAAAACAGTACTCTTTGCCTTGAAAGCATAGCCCTGGATGTGTATTGCTGTTGTAACATCCATTACAGCAGGCTGCAACCACCAAGAGAAACACGGGCTTTGGGAAGGAACGTGGCCTGACACCACAAAATGCAGCACTACATAGCAGGGCCCTCAGCTTCCTGCTGACAGGCTGGGCTGCTCTCACCCATCCAACTCTGTCAGCCTCAGAATTAACTTATTGAGGTCAGTACTCATAACAGCAGTATTGCAGACTTGATTCACTCTTCCTCTCTGAGAAAGCCCCATACTCTCTGCCCAGTATGGCTATTACCTGCCAACCTAAAGGATGATGAATGTTATTTATATTGCTGTAATGGCTAACCACTCCATGGAGACTGGGGACAGGCTGTGCTATGGACTTTTCAAACATGCACTGAATAGGAACTGCCCACAGATGGCTGAGTGTATTAAAGTGCTGAAACACTTCAGGGTAATGTTCTTGAATGCTTTGGACACGGTGACCCCCAGCAGCTCTGCAGCACTTGTGCTGACTGCTACAACACAGGGTGCTGTCCTACAGTAAAGATATTCATTAATAACACGCTTATCAGTTATTGTGACATGCCCTTCCAAAAGGAAAAAACACCCTCATTTTCTTAAAACATGCAACTCCTTGATGAGAAGGCTTTTAAATTCCTTGATTGATAAGTTAAAAAATATAAATATTTCAAATGAAACAAAAGAGAGGAATGAGAGATCCTGATTAAGTTTTCCTAATATTTAGCTGTCAGTTTTGTTATACAAAAAATAAACTTATAAGGATTACTCAAGATGTAGATGAGAAAAGTGATCCAACAAGAAAACATGAAGAACCTGAACCTATGAAACGAACTATCAGACCAATTTAACTTGGACTTGTGCATACTTGCAGGATTAGCTTTACATAATTGCAAAAAAATGTAAGATCTGAAAAACTATGTCTTTAACTTTTCATTATGGTGAGCCCAGAGGGTGGATAGCTAACACTCCCTAGGAAATCGCCTCCCAAGGCATAGCCCTGCAAAGATGACAAGGAAATAAATTAAAAATATTTGATGTGGTCTTTTTTTTATTGTTAGTAGCTCTCTTGGTATATTAGCAAAATCATCTGGTGACTTCTTTCATATGCATCAAGGTATCGAGACCTAAAAGACTAAGTGATGTATTCCAAGAATTGTGTCAGAGAAAGTGCCATGGAACAAGTTTTGGACTCCTTTCATTTCTTTTCCAATTAATGTCCCAGTATTGAAGACCTAAAAATATATTTGGAAACTATTTGGCATTTGTGTCCATCAGTAGCCTTATTACAAACCAAGTGCTAAAGATATACCTTACCTTTAAGAATGCCCTTTACAGTTCTAGATGAGGCTGTCTCGGAGCTTTATAGCCAAAAGCCTGAAGATACCAGAGCCTGGTAAACACTTTACTAAGCAGGGATCAACCGCACAGTTTCTTTTTCTGTCTTTTCAGTCAGCAGAATGGTCACTCTCAATCCAAACAGGACAAATAAAGCACAAGCAAGAGCCTGTGAGTGTTTTCTAGCTGTCTCAACTGTAGAAGTCTCCTAAGAGGACTGATGTCTCAACATCTGGGCATCCTCCTTCCTGTCAAACACTACTGAGCAATGGGATTTGTCAACAATCTGCTCAGCATATACAGATGACAACTGCAGAGTTTGGAGAGCTCAAGGGCATTTATAGATAGATAGGGGATTGAGATGGATGCGTTGAACTAGGACTGAGACCCAGAATCTGTGAAAATTATACACAATTGCAGTACAATTTTTACCTGCAGTAATTAAACCAGACACCATGACATGCAAAATTTAGGCCAGGTGTGCTTTACAATTACAAATATTGTTTCAGTGCCACATAATACGAAGAAAAGGAAAGATGTCTGTTGCCTAAACCACAACTCTGTCTATCATTAAAATATATAGAAAGAAAGCTTCATTTATGAACAGGTAAATGAACAGATTGTCCTAAGCACAAATTTCATGGATGATAGATTTGAAGGTCTTTCCCACACCTACATCTCACCTAATGGTACTCCACAGCTTATAGATTTTCAGTCTGTTGCTCCACCGTGACCTACAAGAACTTCCTCAACATTTTAAGAAGTCTTGACTAAGAGATGTATCTTGGTACAACACAGAAATGAAGCATATAAAAAAAAACTTTTGCCTTACTGCAATTCTCTCCAAATAATTTCTCCAATCAGCTATATTTTCAATAATCTGTCCATTTTGTAAATTTTAACACAGATTTATTCACTACCCCTATGACAGCATACTGCTTAAGGCCTTCTACCCTCCCAGTCCAGTGAGTGATAGAACTTGGCATCAAACTTCTATAGCATCAAGTGCTGTATGTTTTTTTCCTGACAACCTAATTGTACAGTGAAATCTGTGGTCAGATGCAGTCTTTACAAAAGCATATGTTCACTCCTTGGTATTCAAGAGTAGCTGTTTAGACTCTGAGGCTATACTTTGTTCCACTGAAAGATATATTATCACATCTGTGTCTAAATATTTTTGCTTCCTATGTCTGCTACAAGCAACACCTACAGTTTCTATAGCTGAAAATGACAAGATAAAAATAATTTCCACCAATTTGTCATGCTTTTTGCATTTAACAACACTAAACGTATAGCCTATTTCATTAACAGTTTTGCTTTTTGTATTTACATATAACAAGAGAGAAATAAGCATGTTAAAAATAAGATGGCATTGTAAAAATGACAAAAAAATGGAAACAGAATTTGTGGGTTGGTGCAGAATTGAAAACCACTTAACACATTTAAAAAGAAAAAACATTAACTTTCAAGTTGCCTCTCTTTACTGCTTTTAAGTACAGCGTTACGTAGAATGGCCATCACGTATTGACATTTGATCTCCTTGCTCAGCAGTCTCATTATAAGGTTATGTTAGAAGGGTTCTCAATCTGTCTTTCATGTCAAAAGCAAACATGTTTTCACCACCTTTGAATTAAGTCAGAGAATCACAGAATCATTAAGGTCAGAAAAGACCACTGAGATCACCAGGTCCAACCATTATCCCACCCCACCGTGCCCACTGCCCATGTCCCTCTGTGCCACATCTCCACTTTACTTGAACACCTCCAGGGACAGTGACTGCACCACCTCCTTGGGCAGCCTGTGCCAGCACCTCATCACTCTCTGAGAAGAACTTTAACTAATATCCAACCTCAACATCCCCTGAAGTCATTATAAATCTTCAAAATACATGTATTTTTTGAGAGCGGTGAGTTCTCATCATGGATATATCACAAAGAAAACAATACAGAAGCATAAAATGTCATGAATTCTTCTTCAAGCATATGGTACCGCAGGAGCATTGAACGTGTTTGCATTAATTACTTTTAAAAAGAAAAGGAGATGTCACATTTGAGATGGAGGGTCCTACCAAACTCACTGAGAACCACACATAAATCTAACAATAGCGAATTTTTTATTAACTCATTGTGACAGCTGTCAAGCTTGGAAGAATTTTTTTTATTAATACCAAAACAATTGTGCATTTAAACAAAAGCCAGTAATTCAGTTACAACTTATGTCCCCAGCTCTGTCATACAATCTGCACATATGCAGATATTACATCTATAAGCAAAGTTGCTCTCCAAATTTTATTTTTGGGGCTGCAATATGATGTGCTCAGAGCCTGGGCAGTATTGTGCAGAAAGCAGGCCAGAAGGCAAGCTGTGAAATTTCAGTACTGGGCTTGGTGCTCAGCACAAGCTTTCTGCAACCAATAAAGATGCAGGGAGCCCGTTAAATAATTCCATTAAAAGCAAGGCTAGTATCTCTGATGTGAGCTTCTAACTGTGAAAACCACTCTGAACAAGTAATAGAGAACAGCCCTTACCTCCTTGTAGATATCATCATTCCTGCTGAAGTCTCCTGACCTCCTTGGAAGGACATGGACATGAACATGCTAGAAATTTGAAACCAAATAATGGTTATTGCCAAGATCATGACTTTCTTTTCCAGATTATCAGCATCATGCTCCACTTGGTATAAGTAACTGAACAGAAGTCCACAGAATTCCAAGTCCACATGTTCCATGAAAGTACCTCAACCCTTCAGAGATTATAAAAGATGTTCAGGCTAGTGGATGAAGGAACCACTAGTACATTAACAGAGACCATGCAGGTATATCAGCCGCATTCTGGGCTGGACAGCACTTCCATTACAACATCTTTTGCAAGGTCAGAAAGAGCTTAATATTTTGCTTTTTTTCCCAGGAGACCGTAGCCCACACATAACATATCCAGTGGTGCATCATGTGGCCCCAAACCTGCAGGGCAAGAGAATTAAAGGTCCAGATTTACAGAGCCTGAACCATAGGCATCACTCTCCTGATGGCGAAGCCATTGCTCAGTGTAGCAGAGCTACGGGAGATAAGCTGCACAGGTAGTTTTGGGCTTTCCAGCATGGGGGTTATGTAAGGGACAACATATTTTCTCACAAATGCTGATGAGATATGGAGAAGAGGAACAAAAATAAGGACAAGTCAGCAAACATATTATGTTACTTTGATGTTCATTACTACTACCATCTTTTTTTTTCGTAAGAGATTACAGGCCTCTTCATGCCAGACAGGAATTACACAATTCAAGATTTTTGTGACTCAAAATCTACTATGATTTTTAAAAGAATCCTTGAGAAACCGAAGAAATGCTGATTTGCTGTTCTGCAGTAACTTCAGCTACAAAACTGTAAATATTCTTTTATCCTTTCCCCTCTTCTATTCTCTGTATACACAATAAACTGAATTTAGATAGCTTGCATCTGATTCAACTTGGTGAGTTGAAATCAACTGAAATTCATGAATCCTGCTAAGACATTCTCAAAATACAGCTCAAGTCTCTAATAAAGAGAAAAAAAACCCTCAACCAAAAAAACTTAGTCTATTTCTAATAAAATCCAAACACACCTACATCATGCTACCCTCATCTACAAGAACATTTGTTCAGTGAATAAAATGAAATCACAAGGATGTTTCACTTAATGAAATAGTCTGAATACCACTTGTTTTTCTTAGCTTACCCTAAAGAAACCAAATATTCTACTCCTTAAACCTAGCATTATCCACAGCTTTCAGCATATTCAGCCTAGAGATGAGGATGCTTCTTGAGGGTTAAAAAACAGTGTTTTTGAGTAATACATCAATGATAGTGTTCTGATAGTGTATTATACTAATATATCATGAGAGCGATAGTGTTCTTGTGATGTATTAGTGCAATGTATCATCTGAACATCACTGCTCTCATGACAAATGACTCAAAATCACAAGGTAAGTTTAAAGATGGTCTTCGAAGCCCTAGGCTTCAAATTTGGCTTTAGGACAAAGAGAGACTTCCAAGAAAAACAGAACTAAGACTGGTTTGTACCAACAATGTGAAATTTCACCAGCATGCCACACCTATATTTAAAGAGATTTAGATTTAAAATTTATACATAAAACTACAGAATTATCTATCAGTTCTTTCTTTTCTTGTAAAAGGGATGATACTATGGCTACAAATACTACATTTCAGGATTTTTTCTTTATGATATAGAGACAGCCTAATGTCAGATATCAATAACTATTATGTCCCAAAACTTCTATGCACTTAAGAGTCATTTTTATCTCTGTGGCAAAACGTTTCAGGACACACACACAGGAAAAGCAAACAGGATGTGGCCCAAAGCTTAGTGCAGAGATGCTGTACTGCAGATGCACAGAGCAGCACAGCAGGTAACAAATGAGCCTAATGTGAGCTTCTGCCCAAAATGGGCTCATGTGATCAGCATGAAAAAAGGAGAAGAGAAAGTGTTTATGAGAGCATATGGGCCACTTGGCATCACTGGGGACATTCTCAGGGTTTGTCACCTTTACTACATGCATTATGTTCTTACACGACGCCCGACTGCTCAGCAAAATCTGTCAACTGTATCAGAAAACAAATGGGTATTTCCAGGTCTGAGGTAACTACAATCAGTTATGAGAGAGCAATTTTTTCCGGACATTCCAATTATTTTTCTTAGTATCGTACATGGGATATACATAGAAATTTGAATTCTTTCTATCATTTATATAATAGAAAAAAGCCATGAATAGCAATTATGTCTCAAGGAGATTCCTTCTCTTCAGTTTTAGGGGAAGAAACAAGAACAGAGCAGAGCAATGGTTCCCATGTGGGAACCACTCGTTTGCCATTCAGCTTATGGCTTTCCAGCTTGGGGTGCCGATATTTTGATTCACTGGGGTTCTTTAATTGATCATTTCTGCTCTTCAGTGTTATTTTTTTTATGGCTGAAGCCAGACAAAACAAAAACCTGCAAGTCCAAAAAAGACATTTGCAGTTGACTGAAATGTGTCAGTAGATACAAACGAAACATTTGGCTGTATATATTTCTTTTAACCGAACAAACAGATTTAGGCAAATCTTCACTCAAAACACTATTTGGAGAAGAAAAATCCAAACACTGTCTATATAAAATGTCAAAATAAAGCATTTCAGCTCTTCCCTGTTATTGTGGATACCCTCATGACTGGTGAGTAGCAGACAACACCAAAGCATTCCAGCAGGCTGCATTCAATCACTGTTGATTGTACTTTTCTCTCCTAAGAACTGCTTTCCCCTCATTTTGCATTGTTTTGATTAATAAGCAAGAAAAGTGACACACAACAACCAAAACATTCACATTAACAGACCAATCAATGTGTAGAAAAAAAATGCAGACATGTTTGCATTGCCTAAAATGTTAGCTGCCATTCCCTCCTCTTGTCAGACACTGATGGAGAAAGCTGTGCATCACTGCAGGAGACAGGCATACTGGATGTCACAACACGGGGACATGGCACGATGCACCCAGGTGGTACATCAGGCACACGTACTTTGACATTGGGTAGTCAAAGATACCTGAGCCTCACTGGCTGTTTCTAATACCTCGAAAGAGGTTGTGGGAGAAAACTTTCAAGATCTTTACACCCAGACTGGACAAAGAATTAGAAAAAGTAATGTGAGGAGCAAATCTGCAGTGCAAAGAAGTGCTCTCAAGCCAGAGATCCCCACATTCCCAGTGAGGCAGGGGGAGCTTGAGTCTGCTCCTCCCACCGCTGCTGAAATCTAGCAGCCACACAAGCATTGGTGGGACTTCACATCTAAAGTTGATTTCCAATGAGCCAGACTTGCAAAACACTCACAGAAATCTTGACAAAAAAAAAACAAAAAAAACCAAAAAAACCTCTGCAGGCTGTTTTATTGGAAAAAAAGACAAACACCACACATTCACATCAGGTGAGTTTTGCTTCAGCACTCAAGGCCATAGAGAAAGCAATGTTCTTAGTTATGGCTGTTTTTATATACTGAATTACGGTCGAATAATCAATGTGTCACCACTGTGCTAGATGTAAAGCAAAAATACCAGGCAAAAACAGACACTGAAAGAGATTTCCTGAGCAGACCAGAATGGTGAAGATCAGATGACCGTGCCACACACCACAGAGGAGAACATGGACATCACCTGCAATAATTCATGAACATTATGTTGTGTTCCCTCAGCTGCTGTGCTGGTTAGCAAAGCAACAAAGCTCTGTTTCCAAAAGAAAGTGAGATAATAGCCTTCATAAGAGCTCCCCAGCACTCACCCTGGGACTATTAGCAATACATGTTGCTATAGGATGAATGCATGAAGCCTGGTGGTGGATCACATAGTGGGCAACAGGGGGTTGCCAAAATGCTGGCAAAAGGACTGATTCACCTCAGCTGCAAAGGCAGCACATGGCTGAGCTGTGTCTTCAAGCAGCAAAACCAGATGTCTTTCATCAGCTTAAGCCATTCCCTTGTCACTTTTTTCTCTTCATAACAGAGAAAACATGTGGGTTTCCATAGTTCCGTGGTAAAGCAACACCAGGCAAGGCAGTGATGTGGGGCACAGGGAAGATCAGAAAGAGTGAGCCCCCAAGTCCATGCCACGCACAAGCAGGAGGAAGGGCAGGAAGGACACCAGTGATGGCAAGCTGCAACATGTGCTGGCCACAGGACCCCCCCATCAGCTAGTTCACAGGGAAAAAGGATTGAGGCATACAGATAACACCTTATTTGCTGCAGAAAGTCCCCTGTCCATTGCATAGACATGGGCTTCATACAGGAGGCTGTGATAATGCTTCTTCTAAACTACCAGATTAACTGTAGAAATTCCAAACTAATAACCATTCTCCAAGTAAGGCTGTCAGTGGGTGATAAAGAAAATCAACCCTAATACTGAGATAGCCACATGAAAAATAGGGCAATTTCGTCCTTTCTGTAAACTGGGCTTCTATGGAGCCCTTGTTTGCTATTCTTGATTAACTGCTCAATTATCCCTGTTAGAAAATTATTCTGCAGAAAGCCCTGCCTGTATATCCACAGCTCATTAACAGAAAGCACTCCCTCTGCTGTCTGCAAAAATATATCACATTACCCAGATGCTAGCAGACTTGGTACAATTGCTTTTTCTTTGTTTTGTAAGCCAATTTCTACGGTCCTTGACTTGCAGACCCTGGCAAGGACATCTTCATGGTGAAGCAACTTCTGTTCAGTGAATATTTTTGAGTTCTTGACGTTTTTCCTATTCCCGAATTGGGTTGGGATGGAGAAACATATGGAAAAAAAAGTCCTATTCAACACTTAAAAATTAAAAACAAAGCAGTTTGCATCAAAATATTCAATTTCCACAGCCTTCAATATTATTGCCAGCATAATTTTTCCTGCATATCCGGATGTTATAAGTTACACAACGTAAGACCACTTTGAAAGACCTGTTATAAAAAAATTAAAAGATGACAGAAACCTACTTGAAACACTTACTTTCCTACAAAAATGCCCAGTTCTTAGGAATTGTCACCTTCTTTTATTGCAGTAGGCTGCACACAAGATGCACACATGCTGCCTTCTACCAAAACAG